ATTATTCATTTTAACAATTTAACTATTTATTATTATATAAAACTCATAAATTTCAAAACTCACAACTGGATTATGTAGAAAAATAAAAAAAAAAACAAGTTCTTGTGTCATCTATGTTATTTCTTCAATATTCAATCCCACTATCGTAGTGCTAATTAATTTCCTTCAACCAATCAACCTCAACCCAACAACTTCAAAAATAAAAAAAAGAGACTCGGCCGACGACCTGATGCAAGCAATTGCTGCTCTCATCATTGAAAGCTTGAAGGTAAAGGTGACCACTAACTTATTGGTAAAGACTAAAAACAATATTACTTTTTTTTTATATGAATCATATATTGTCATATTGAGTTTCAACTTTCAAGTTTGGTAAGTTTTTTTTTTTAAATATTGTCTTATACTTGTTAGTAGATATGTTCTAACAAAAAAATTAGTATACTCTATCTGTCCTAGAATAATTAATTTTTTTATTTACATTTATCCTAGAGTAATAGTCATTTTTTTATTTTAAGGAAGATAAATAGTTTTTTCTGCTTTAACCCTATAATTATCCCTTAACTTTATTTTTCTTCTAATTGAATAGATATTTATTCTTAGTTATTTTTTAAGTATAAAATAGGTAAAGATAGAAATTGTTTTCAAATCCTTCATTTGAAGATAAAACAAAAAGTCTATTATTCTAGTATGGAGAAAGTAACATTTAAGTAATGAAATTTATTGATTTTTTATCATTACAAAAAATTGTATAATTTCCTTTTAGGATTTAGAGTTGTTGAAATTACAAATAAAATTGAATATTATAATAATGTTGAAGTTATATGGAATAGAATTGGATCGGAGTTAAAAAAAAAAATGAAAGTGTAGATTCATAAAGGGAACATATATGAACCCAATAAAAGAAAAAACCTTGGATATAGTCATATAGAGAAAAGCAATAAGAAGATAAATTAGTATAAAAGGAAGACAAACTAGTATAAGGTGTAATTAGCTTGTAAGAAGGGAAAAAAAAAATTGTTTGATTATAGAAAGTGATAGGGTAAAGAGATAGGATGTTGCGTATTTCATATTTTCCAACCTCATCTGTGGAGGTAGAAAATCTCTTCACCCTATCATCAACAACAAAAAGAGCATTTTTTGTCAAGAAAATTGTGAAAACAAGACTTCATAGCAAAATGAATGATGAATTCTTTTCAAATTCTTTGATTATTTATATTGAAAAAAAAATAGTTCAATGATTATTTATATTGAAAAGAAAATAGTTCAAACATTTAGTGCAGACTCTATTATAAACAAATTTCGTAATATGAAAACTCATCGAGTATTATTTTAATTTATGATATAAAAATAAATTTTTAAAATTACAATATATTATTTTAAGACTTGAAAAGCCAACCCCTCTTACTAAAATTCTTGGGTCCGCCACTACTGGAAAGACAGAGTGCCCTATGCATATTGGAAAGGTAACCCATACGTCGGTCGTGCCAGAGGAGATCTTATGAAGTGCACCGTCGCTAATAAAAAAGATAGGAATGCATGTTTATACATAATGGTAATTAAATTCTTTCACTATATATGTATCTTCTACTGGTAATTGTTTTTTATTTTTCTCTCATATTTCTTAATTATTTGCATCAAGTTCTCGATTTTGTTAGGAGTAGGGCAGAGAGAGAAGATATAGATCCAGACAATCAAATCTCCAAGACCAATGCACCCACAGGCAAATTAATCTCAGTTATCTCCTTCTAATTGTCCACTTGCCCATACTTGCATTGGTTAATTTGATATCACAAAATGAAAATTACTAGTTACTTGTTTCTAATTTTTAAAACAGGTACAGGATATATATAGAAGGGATAGCATGGCCTGTGAGTGAAAAATACATTCTAGCCTATGATTCCATGACTTATATGTGAAATCTCATTTCTTCGACATCTTTAGTAGAGGGTTGCTTCCATTACAGCACTATTGGCCCATTAGAGATGATACCAAGTGCGCCTCTCTAAAGTTTTCCGTTGAATGGGGCAACACTCATCCTGATAAGGTAGAGTTCATCCAAAAGGCCACT